TATTTATTTATTTATTTTTTTCAGATGAATGTTGTTGAAGGACTAACTGTTATCTGTTAAACATAATTCACATCCAGCACATGTGGATGTATATCTGTATGTGTACAGTATATACACATTGAGTCTGTTGCAGCTCAAGAAAATGTGAATTAAAAAGTACTAAACAATTATAAATAAGATTAATAAGTTGAATTAATTAATTAGTTGACAGAAATAGCAAATATGTTAAACATGCAGTGTCCCTCCACCCTTTTAAAAGTGAGTTTTTTAATATCATTGTTATTTGAATTGCTCTGAGTTTGGGACAGTTGGTCACAAATAAACCAATCTGAAGAGACTCCATTAAGATTGGGAACATTGTCTTATATACATTAACTAATTAAATACATAATTGAAAAAATAAAAGAATAATCACATTAGTTGACAATAAATAAAGTCATTTGTTTTCAGCTTTAACTGATTGTATATTGTCGTACATGTTCAGTTTCAGTCAGGGCCCGCTGAAGACGCTCCCAATCTCATCTGCACCCCACATGCTCCTGGGTACACGAACAGCATCGCTGGAGATGAAGAGAGGATGCAGCCAGGGAGATCCCGAAGGTATCACAGGTAGTTATACACGCACACCACTCGCACACACACACCACACACACACACACAGGCATTGATGGGAAATATGACACCTGCTTAAAAAATGTAAACAAAAGCTTCTAAAGAGATATTTTTAGGTGCTCTGCTGGAGCAGGAGTCTTCTTTTAGTAGTTCATAGTCACAGTCTGCCTCTTTCTTTATTTCTTTCTGTCTTTTTCTTATTCTTTCTCTCTTTCCCGTCCTGTGGTTTCCTCAGTTGCTGTCTTTTTACCACGGGCCTGTTTAATCTTGTCTATCTTTTGTGTCTCTGTGGAAAATGGGTTAGTAAGGGAAACAAAACGAATAAATCACACCTGCTTTGAAATGTCCCCAGTGTGAATTTTACAACACTGGGCTATTCATCTGATTCTTTCTTTTTCTTTTTCTCCATTTCTCTGTCTTTCAGGTCGTATCCCAGACAGTCTGAAGAACTGTGTCAATAAGGAGTTCCTCACCCAGAACAACCACTGGGCAGGAGTTGACCCAGCTACCGTCCACCCCGAGCTCAACGGGGCTTATAGGTAATAACTGACATCAGGATAAAGAAACCTGTAGTGGTCAGTACAGTTTGATTTTTTTCCCCCCCAAACCCTGGAAAAGTGATTGATAAAAATGTTGCCAAATGTGTTGAAAGTACAGAATGTGAACAGCCACTGTTAGAAAGGTATACAGACCATGTTAATGCTGTATTACAATTACAGAACTGCTATCAGAACTACATAAGAGATAATTATACTGTTGGGTAGACAAATTCTGTTTGGCCATATCTCAGCCTGGTCGTAATACATTCAGATTAGTGTTGTGAGCAGCAACAAACTGCAGAAATCAGAGCTACAATAACACCTTGGGCAGGAATATACACGACTAACATCCACCAATACCTTAGTGACCACAAAAGCAAACAGTAGGGGCACATCTTTCAGCCTCTCTAACCTGTTACTATTTGTTCCTTCACTCGTCAGTAGGGATGTCTGCAGCTGATGTGTAGGGCCAGTATGAACACTGATCAAGGCATGTTTTTAATGGATCAGTTTTGGCAATATCACGCTTGATCCACTGCTGATACTTTGTTTGTTGAAACCACTTGTATTCCGGGTAAACCAGCTGTGAAAAAGCCCCACTTTGCTCCATTAAAACACTAAAACTGCATTCAAATGTCAGTACAGCTGAAACAGGTAGACGATTTAATAGTTAATCTGCAGCTATTTTAATCATTGATTATCATTTTTTAAGCTTAAATGCCAAACATTTGCTTTTTTCCCGTATATCATATGATAGTAAATGGAAAATATTGGTTATAGAAAAGCTGTTAGACAATATAAGCCATCTGAAAACATCATATTGGACTCTGGGACTTTATGATGGCCATTTTTCACACTTTAATTAAGATTTAATAGTCCAAATGATTAATTAACAATGATAAGAATTATTATTTGCAATCTTAAATCTTAGTATTCTGTTGAGGCTGGGGTTGAAGTGATCTGCCAAAATATACTGTGCTTCTCTTTCCACCAGTATTAAACAAAATACTACAGGGCACTGTATAAAATATTATGGAAAACCACTAAAGGAAGTATGTGTTACAGGCTATATAAGGTAAACTCCACTGGTTATACACCTGGGAGGCCTGCTACTCAGCCTATAAAAACAGTTGTATAATGTCTTCTGTAGCTCTGGAGAGAGCTGTCTACAATCTGAGAAAATAATTCCTGACGATGTCATCAGGTTATCTCGATACGGGCTTGGAGACTACAACTTTTGAATAGAAACCCTGTGACTCAAACACAGGGTTTGGTGTTATTTCGATGGAGTAGTTTTAGAGCTTGACCCATACCATAAAAAATCAGTTTATTTCTGCTGCTTTTATTTGAACCTTTTTCAACCTTATACTCTGTGGTGCTTCAGTGTGCTACAGTACTACACCAACAAAGTAGTCTGTTTGTGTATATTTTTAATGATAAATGTTTAAATTTAATTGCCTTGTTTTATTCTAATGTAGATCAACTGCACTGTGTTTGGTCACATGCCTGTAATTGTTGTTTCAGTTGTACTGTGATGACTCTGGTTTGAATCTCTCTCTGTCTCTCCTCTCCAGGTATCCCCCAGGAGTGGTGAGCTTGCCAGCTGGCGGCCTCCCGCCACCCGTTGAAGGCATTGTGCCCAGCGCCGTGCCCATCACACACACCCTCCCGCCTGCTGTCACACATCCTCCCCATGCCCCGTCCCCTGGACAAAATACAGTCAAGCCACCAGAGGGCGACAGAGAGCAGCATCCAAACGACCAACTGTAGCCACAAACACACACACACACTAACACAAACACACACACACACGCTTGCCTGTGTTGTCTGGTGACCGGAGGAGGTTGGCATGGCAACTGGGATCATAGCGATAAGTTCCCTAGTGACAAGTTGTAATCAGACAGGTGTGTCAGATCGACAGGTTGAGGTCCCAATAAGAATTGATTAACAACTCTCTGGCAATTGGTTCCCAGCAGCCAGCTCACACTTCAAAGAGGAAGAAGAAGAAGATGATGAGAGGATGGAAGAGGGTGATGAGGAGGAGTGGATAGCTGTCAGATGCTCTTATCAAAGAGCCAGACAATTGTCCTCTGCTCCAACCTGAAGTTCTGAGAAAGACTGTAAAGATCCACAGGTTTATCGTCACATAACAACAACTAGAGTATAGTCGACTTTTTAACTGTTTTCTCTGCCAGAAGTAAAAAAACAAAAACAAAAAAAACTGTTGATTTGGGAAGAAAAAATACTGAATCAAATTCTGCTGTCTTAGACTGTAGTATGTCCAAAGTTAGAGGGGCCTGTTTCACGTCTTTCTCTCTTTTTCTGTGTCCTTTCCTTAGTTTGATGTACAAGCAAAAGTAGTAGGTTATGAAATGAATGTAACCTGTCCGTGTACAGTTTTTAGACTTAAGGCAAGAAGATACTGATATTTGTATTCCAGTCTTAAGAAAAACAAGGGTTCTGTGATCTCTATGTAGCCAAACTGGTTTGAGAATACAATATCTGTTTTGTTTTTTTTATGTGTCCCCAAATTAATAAGCCCCCCAAAAAAGAGGCAGCTTTTTGCACACCATCTCAGGAAATGAAGTTTCCGCAGTTGGTAATATTATTTTATAAACATTTTAAGTTTTAGAAAATTCCTTTTTATGCCACTTAGTGCTTTTGTTTTTCTACCTGCTTGCCTTTTTGTGTCCCGCTACATTAGAAAAAGAACTTTAACGAGAGCTAAAGTTGATCTAATGTTTGCTTTTGTTTGTTTTGTTTACGGGGCATGTGATTTTGCTCTTGGGACTTGTTTAAATGTTTGACCCAGATAGAGGGGGTTGTGGGAGGAAAGGCTGTAGGGAGGTGGCATAATGGTATGCTTGGCTGGGACGACTTCATCCCTAGTCGTGAATTGAATTTACAAAACAGAGTCGTTGGAATAATTACTTTAAAGGACGAAGCAGGTTGCGGACGAGGCAATGCACTGACAGTTTGTAGCAGCTTACAGCTTGAGAAACAGTCTCATAAAAGATTATTATCTATGTTGTCTTCATGTCTAATGATCCAGTACTTCCACTTTTATGTGCATTAATTGTCCAGGTCATGGAACATGAACAGTTCAGCACACTAAGGTTTACAAATGATGCACAACATTGGTGAATCAGTGTGCTGCTTCATGCTGCTATATCAGTGTCTTACTGAAGTTGCCCTAGATATGGATCCGTCAAAATCAGCCAACAGACTTGTGAAAACCTACAAATCAACAAATATATCTATTTATTTATCTGCCAAAACTATTTCTGGTTCCTATCTGAAGTTAAAACTCACTTGACATCCAGTTAAGGACAGTTAATGGTTACTGACTGATGAGGAACCGTTGTGTTCTTGAGGTCCAGTCATACCAAAATGTTCATAAGTCTGATCTGCTCTCAAATAGACCTTTTAAGACTTCTTAAAAACCTACATGGCTTGTCAGTTTGATCGAGGTTCTGAAAGAGGAATGACCTGCTTGTGAAAGGTTTTACAAAGTGAGAGACATCATTCATGCACAATAAAGTAAAGACATTTCACGATAGCATGTCGGAACGTACTGATTTCTCCAGTCTAGTATCCCTTTAACACTTCATGATGGGTCCTTCCTGAGTATACCGTTAGCCACCTTCTGTGGCCTCCGTGTCTATGTGTACATATGGTGTTCTGCCTGCCTGTGTCAATGTGACTTGGTTGTTTCTGTGTCTAAAAAAACAGCACTGGGAGGAGGGGTGGCGGCTAGTACTTTTCCACAAGGCATCATTGCAAAGACTGCCATCTAAATACACAACTTAACGCTATGTAAAAAACCTAAAAATGTTTAGAACTAGACTTCAATCTAAGCTAGCAAACAAAGCCAGTAATGGATGCTTTTACTGGTTCCCACCATGTGAACAAGATGCTGATATTGTTAAATCAGTAGTAAAACAAATGAAACTGTTTTTCTATCTGGAATATTTATTACTAATTCCATTTCATGTGTGGTTGATGTTAGCAGGCCAGCTAAGTGACGGTGCTTTTTGGATCCCCTTCTACCAGCAGCTGAGTAGTAAAAACAGTTCACTGTTGCCTACCTGGTCTTCTTCATGGTGAGGTAGTAAAAGTAGCAATCAGGGATGGAACTTTCACTAGCCATTGGTGAGTATTTTACAGGCCATGCTGAATCCGAAGGGGGTGTCTAGTGCAGAAGGTACTGAGAGGACATTTAAATATTACTGTCGGACTAGACCCCCAAAATCCTGAAAGGAATGCTGGAATATTTTGAATTCTACTCATGATCTTTCCTCACCAGATGCCTGTCGTTATGTGGAGGAGAAACTCTTTGCTGATACTTCCAAATGTAAACTGTAAGCATTCCTCATTCAAACCGATGGGTGCCACAAGTACAAACCACAGACTAGCTTTCAAAGTGTCAAGGTGCTCCCTGAAATTCCATCCCTGGTAGTAACATACAGTCCACTGTTGCCTACATTGGTCCCCTTTATGGTAAAGTAGTAGGCGTAGCAATATACAGTATACATATTCTATATTCTACAGTAAATATCATTATTTTTGGTCAAAACTGACAACCTGACAAAGATATGTTTGTGACTGTATGCATTTGTATGAATTATTTTAAAAGGAAATAAACTGTGGAAAGGTGAATTTTTGTGTTGTCATCTCTAATCTTCATAAGTTTGTTGTATATGTTTTGTTTATAATAATATGACCTCACAGAAAGCTCCCTGTTAGCAAAGCTAGTCAATGTTGGTCACAGAGGTTTTATCACCAAAAGGTGCAACTAAAGTCCTTTCACAGTTACTTTTGTAGTTACTGCAGGTATACATTAGAGCTTGAGAGCCTTGTGCTGTATCACTATTGCACACTGGAAAATAATTCTCACCATTCTGGTAGCTAGTTTAAAAGAAACTGTTATGTAAATTTTTGTTCTGTAACAGGAAATCATACAAGACACAAGGACAAATATCAGTCCAACTGTGACAATTTGAAATTTGAACACTTAACAAAGACAAAATGTTTCTCCAACTT